TATTTTGTTAGTTTCGCGAATGTTGATGTCCGGATGTTCTGATGATCGATATCCAAGGCTCGAGCTAAAGATTAGGAATATTGCATCTCCCTTCGACAGGGGTGCCAACCTTCAGGGGAGGGAATATGACGCAATTCTCTCTCTCTTAAAATTTACGTACTCACCCTCGTTACTCTCTCTCCTTACAATTGACTTGGTCGAAAGTTCGCAGTTTTCCGATCTTACGGTGAACTCTCGTACAGGTGGCGGAATTCTCAAAAATTCCGTCACAAGGGAATGCTGCCCAACCTAGACCATCAAATGAGATATCTCCAAGCCCTGAAGGTGAATATTTGAGATATATTCACATTAATTTGTTCGGAGTTTTGTGTTTATTAATTGAATTTGATTTTTTTCTTGTTCCAGAGTGCCAAGAGCCTCGAAAGAGCATTGAGGAAATTGAGGCCGAATTAGCAGAGATTGCTGCAGCTCTGGAAAATCGGGAGCGCGAGGAAGAAAATGAACTCATGCAAGAAGAAGAAGTACACCGCATTCAAGATATGTCAACACAGCGTCAGCAGGAGCTTGACGAGATTGATAAGGAATTGGAGCAGATCGACAATCAAGACCGATTGGCCCGTCAGTCTCTCGATTTTGATCTGTTGTCCCCGAGTATGTTCTTTGACGGAAAATTTTTTCATATATTTGATAATTATGCATCATTCTGTAACATTTTTTGAAACATTGAATAAACGGTAAATACATTTCATCATTAAGAATGCGTTTCAGCTTTCATTTAACGTAACCTTCAATATTCCCTCTCCTGCGCCTTGCCGTTTTCCTGCTCCTGGAANTGGAAAATCGGGAGCGCGAGGAAGAAAATGAACTCATGCAAGAAGAAGAAGTACACCGCATTCAAGATATGTCAACACAGCGTCAGCAGGAGCTTGACGAGATTGATAAGGAATTGGAGCAGATCGACAATCAAGACCGATTGGCCCGTCAGTCTCTCGATTTTGATCTGTTGTCCCCGAGTATGTTCTTTGACGGAAAATTTTTTCATATATTTGATAATTATGCATCATTCTGTAACATTTTTTGAAACATTGAATAAACGGTAAATACATTTCATCATTAAGAATGCGTTTCAGCTTTCATTTAACGTAACCTTCAATATTCCCTCTCCTGCGCCTTGCCGTTTTCCTGCTCCTGGAAGGCAGGGGAAGTTTCACTCTCTCCTTCCTCGTCTTGTTCCTGTTTCCTGTCCTTGAACGTCTTTTTCCTCCTCAGTGTCCAGAGAGATTGAGGGGAATTTTCAATCTTTCCTTGTTTTGGACCCGTTTTCTTCCCTTGAACGTCTTTTTCCTCCTCACTGTCCAAAGGGTTTCAGGGGGTAGATGGTGGGAGGACTTCTGCAGCTATATAAGCTGCGAGGTCTCTCGAACCATCATATACAACCTCACCTTCGGTCCTCAGGATTATTTTGTGTTTTTTGCGTTTTTTTCGTGTTTTTTGTGTTCTTTTTATTATAAAAAAAAAACGGTGGTTCCAGNCCGGATGTTCTGATGATCGATATCCAAGGCTCGAGCTAAAGATTAGGAATATTGCATCTCCCTTCGACAGGGGTGCCAACCTTCAGGGGAGGGAATATGACGCAATTCTCTCTCTCTTAAAATTTACGTACTCACCCTCGTTACTCTCTCTCCTTACAATTGACTTGGTCGAAAGTTCGCAGTTTTCCGATCTTACGGTGAACTCTCGTACAGGTGGCGGAATTCTCAAAAATTCCGTCACAAGGGAATGCTGCCCAACCTAGACCATCAAATGAGATATCTCCAAGCCCTGAAGGTGAATATTTGAGATATATTCACATTAATTTGTTCGGAGTTTTGTGTTTATTAATTGAATTTGATTTTTTTCTTGTTCCAGAGTGCCAAGAGCCTCGAAAGAGCATTGAGGAAATTGAGGCCGAATTAGCAGAGATTGCTGCAGCTCTGGAAAATCGGGAGCGCGAGGAAGAAAATGAACTCATGCAAGAAGAAGAAGTACACCGCATTCAAGATATGTCAACACAGCGTCAGCAGGAGCTTGACGAGATTGATAAGGAATTGGAGCAGATCGACAATCAAGACCGATTGGCCCGTCAGTCTCTCGATTTTGATCTGTTGTCCCCGAGTATGTTCTTTGACGGAAAATTTTTTCATATATTTGATAATTATGCATCATTCTGTAACATTTTTTGAAACATTGAATAAACGGTAAATACATTTCATCATTAAGAATGCGTTTCAGCTTTCATTTAACGTAACCTTCAATATTCCCTCTCCTGCGCCTTGCCGTTTTCCTGCTCCTGGAAGGCAGGGGAAGTTTCACTCTCTCCTTCCTCGTCTTGTTCCTGTTTCCTGTCCTTGAACGTCTTTTTCCTCCTCAGTGTCCAGAGAGATTGAGGGGAATTTTCAATCTTTCCTTGTTTTGGACCCGTTTTCTTCCCTTGAACGTTTTTTTCCTCCTCACTGTCCAAAGGGTTTCAGGGGGTAGATGGTGGGAGGACTTCTGCAGCTATATAAGCTGCGAGGTCTCTCGAACCATCATATACAACCTCACCTTCGGTCCTCAGGATTATTTTGTGTTTTTTGCGTTTTTTTCGTGTTTTTTGTGTTCTTTTTATTATAAAAAAAAAACGGTGGTTCCAGTGATCGCCCAGGAGGATGTCTGCAGGGTGGTTATCACCCGTATGGTAAGTTTTTATTTATTTATATTTTCAGTGTTTTTTTCGTTTTTCCGTGTTTTAGTGTTTTGTGTTTTTTAGTAATTTTTTTTAGTGTTCGATTTTCGTTTTTTTTTCTCGATTTTCGTCTCGCGTTTTCCGTGTCCGTGTTATTTTAGTGCTCGTTTTTCGTGAATTTTTTCGGGTTCGTTTTTTCGCGGTTTAAATGTTTCGTTCAATTTTTGTTCATTTTTATTCGGTTTTCGTCGTTTTCTGCTCGTTTTTGAACCCCCTCTTACGGAAAACGCATGTATTTTTTGTTCGGTTTTCGTTCGTTTTCTTTTCGTGTTTCGCCTGTTTTTTTCGGTTTTCGTCAAAAAATTTTGCTCGCGTTCTCTGTCGTGAAAACTTCTTTCGTGTTACATTTTTCCATCATTACAAAAACTTCTTGCTCGTGTTTTTTCATTCAAAAAAAAATTAACACTTGCGTTTTTTTTGTAATAAAAAAAAATTTTCATTATTTTTTAAAATCTTTTTTTCAGATGCAGGAGACCAGAAGGGAGAGGGCCTACTTCAGAGCACTTAAGCAGTGGCTGCGTTGGGAGGACGAGGAGGGCGAGATTCTTGATGGCGAAGATATCTTCGCCATCAGAGCCCTTCATGCCAGGGCGGAGTGCTGGCTGGCGGATGCAAAGCACGAGGCTTACATGGTAAGTCTCTCTCTCTCTCTCTCTCTCTCTCTCTCTCTCTCTCTC